GGAGCCGGTGGCTGAGCAGACAGAACACTGGACCCGTGATCCTGTGGTCCCGGGTTCGATCCCTGGCGCCGGCGAGAAACAAGTAGGCAGAGTTTCATTCACCCTGATGCCCTTGTTACCTAGCAGTAAATAGGTACCTGGGAGTTAGTCAGCTGTCACGGGCTGCTTCCTAGGGGTGGAGGCCTGGTCGAGGACCGGGCCGCGGGGACACTATGCCCCGAAATCATCTCAAGATAACCACTGGCATTACTCTTCCCACATTTTGTTACAGCATTTTTGTGTTCAAGAATTCTTGTCAATAAACCTGGACGGGTCGCGTCCACATGTGATGAATTGTAATCATTACAATATGTCACACCATCACCTACAGTGTTCTTGTTATTGAAGGAGGATATTGGTGTGTTATATTGCACTATAATGAAATATCTATAGTGCGTCACGGTATATAGTGTTGTGTGTATCAGAAGGTGACACGCACCAGCTTCACTAGACGTAAGGCCGGCCAGGTGGAACATGGAGCAGCTCCTGGCCCCTGACCCGTCCCTGTACACTCAAGGAGCAGCTCCTGGCCCCCTGACCCGTCCCTGTACACTCAAGGAGCAGCTCCTGGCCCCCTGACCCGTCCCTGTACACTCAAGGAGCAGCTCCTGGCCCCCTGACCCGTCCCTGTACACTCAAGGAGCAGCTCCTGGCCCCCTGACCCGTCCCTGTACACTCAAGGAGAAGCTCCTGGCCCCCTGACCCGTCCCTGTACACTCAAGGAGCAGCTCCTGGCCCCCTGACCCATCCCTGTACACACTCTCATGCAAGATAAGCCTTGGGTATGACAGCCAAAGAGATACACAATAAAGTATTGATCTTCGCTATAATCCTTTGTTCCACACACTACCGTCGGTGAGGCAAACAATGTATTGGTTGGGGTCATGTGTGCACCTGCCCTAGACTATATGAAGGGTTACACAGTGTGTGTCAAGAGCCAGGTGTGTGATACTAAGGTACCTGGACATTTATACACCTGCCCTAGACTGTATGAAGTGATACACAGTGTGTCAAGAGCCAGGTGTGTGATACTAAGGTACCTGGACATTTATACACCTGCCCTAGACTATATGAAGGGTTACACCGTGTGTGTCAAGAGCCAGGTGTGTGATACTAATGTACCTGGACATTTATACACCTGCCCTAGACTATATGAAGGGTTACACTGTGTGTGTCAAGAGCCAGGTGTGTGATACTAAGGTACCTGGACATTTACACACCTGCCCTAGACTATATGAAGGGTTACACAGTGTGTGTCAAGAGCCAGGTGTGTGATACTAAGGTACCTGGACATTTATACACCTGCCCTAGACTATATGAAGGGTTACACAGTGTGGCATGACAGATGACTGCCCCAAACAACACAAGCCACGTGTCAAACACAACGTGAGCCCAATTTCCTACCGTTACAATATCCCAAATACATAATTTGTACCCATTTTGGTCGAGCCTGGAGCGGCCAAGCCTGGAGCAGTCAAGGCTGAAGCTGTCAAGCCTGGAGCGGTCAAGGCCGAAGCTGCCAAGCCTGGAGCGGTTAAGGCTGAAGCTGTCAAGCCTGGAGCGGTCAAGGCCGAAGCTGCCAAGCCTGGAGCGGTTAAGGCTGAAGCTGTCAAGCCTGGAGCGGTCAAGGCTGAAGCTGCCAAGCCTGGAGCGGTCAAGGCTGAAGCTGCCAAGCCTGGAGCGGTCAAGGCTGAAGCTTTAGCGTCAGGCTGGTAAGAACGCTTACAGAGAACACGTGTTGGTATTTCACAGCTGTTCCACCACACTTAAACATTAACGCTGGGCCCCTCGCTGAGAAGTCGTGCAGGCGGTGGTCCACGGTGGTGTGGCCAGACCCGTCCATGCAGATGTGGCCAGACCCATCCCCGCAGGTGTGGCCAGAGCCGTCCATGCAGATGTGGTCAGACCCATCCCCGCAGGTGTGGCCAGACCCATCCCCGCAGGTGTGGCCAGACCCATCTCCGCAGGTGTGGCCAGACCCATCTCGGCAGATGTGGTCAGACCCATCCCCGCAGGTGTGGCCAGACCCATCCCCGCAGGTGTGGCCAGACCAATCCCCGCAGGTGTGGCCAGACCCGTCCATGCAGGTGTGGCCAGAGGCAGCTTACAATCATGCATATTAATATATCCCCAGACAAGTGAAAAAAAGCAATATAACCTATTAAGGATGGACCCACCTATTGCAGGGCTGAGGGCCATGACCCAGATATTACGGCCATGAGGGCCCGTGACCCAGCCAATTTCTAGGTCAAAATATGATAATATTTAAGAGCAATTAGTGTCAGAACTGTAGGAGAAGCGAGAGGTAGTTTACCGTGCAGCCTCGCCTTAATAGCCACAATTACACTAAGAGACCTATTAATACCTGGGAAAGATATTAATACTTGTATCACTGGAATATGCGTGGAGCCGGGTATTTGTTTTTCAACTTAAAATACCCGCAAATTGACTGGAATTATTGAAACAGGTGGTTCTTATAGGTTCTTCCAGGTGGTTCCAATATATATAGGTTCTTCCAGGTGGTTCCAATATATATAGGTTCTTCCAGGTGGTTCCTATATATATATATAGGTTCTTCCAGGTGGTTCCAATATATATATATATAGGTTCTTCCAGGTGGTTCCTATATATATAGGTTCTTCCAGGTGGTTCCAATATATATATATAGGTTCTTCCAGGTGGTTCCAATATATATATATAGGTTCTTCCAGGTGGTTCCAATATATATAGGTTCTTCCAGGTGGTTCCAATATATAGGTTCTTCCAGGTGGGTCCTTGTAAGATATATAACTGCCACATATATCTAATTAGGGTGTCGCTATACGTGCGTATATGCTCAAAAACTATAGGTTAATTGTGGACAATTTGAGTTTTCTATTATAACGTGTTTCCGACGGTAGAGGCCAGTCACTATGGGCAAGCCTCACCCAATTTTCAAGAGTAATTGATGGTGGGTACGTGCCCAACATGGGCGGGTCGAGGTTGGAGGTCAATGCAACAACTGCCTCTTAACAGTGCCAAAGTGACTTAAAAAACGAATATTACAATATTAAGTGGCCATTATGCACAGATATTTACAAAATTTTATCATACTTTCCCTATAATATCAAAATACACAATACTGCATACAACCAACTCCTACATTGTGTACTCCTGCTATACTGAAAGGCATAACAACCGCAGCATTCCAATTCAACTTGTCCTCGTACAAAACGTCGCTTTTCGCACGTATGCGTTACATAGGGGCAAAAACTGTCGTACTAGAAAATGGAAGCGACTGACGAAAGTTACGTACTGTTCCGTTTTCTGTTTTGGGTCCTCTGGTAGAGGTTAGGAGAGACCACTTTAAATTGACCGTTTTCTTGACGTTGGGAAGCCTTTGAAGGACAGGCTGCCTAATTAACCTTCTCGAAGTCTAAATAAGCAATCCCAAACCTAATATATTCAACCTTAGTCCCATTGTAGTACACAAGTCTCGGAAAGGCTTTTGCTTGATACCTGCTTCCAATTTGCTTTCTTTCTCAGAAACATCGACCAGGAGCCTGAGCCAGATTCACGAAGCAGTTACGCAAGCACTTACGAACGTGTACATCTTTCCACAATCTTTGATGGCTTTGGTTACATTTATTAAACAGTTTACAAGCATGAAAACTTGCTAATCAACTGTTGTTATTGTTATAAACAGCCTCCTGGTGCTTCGGAGCTCATTAACTGTTTAATAATTGTAAACAAAGCCGCCAAAGATTGAGAAAAGATGGACAGGTTCGTAAGTGCTTGCGTAACTGCTTCGTGAATCTGGCCCCTGGACCCAACCGGACAGTAATGCCGTCTGTTAGTTATAAATCCCTGGGATTTCTGGGTGACCTGAGTTCTTTGATGGATTTACTCGCTAATGTTGCCACGTTTACATTACTTCTCGCACTGAATTTCTCTTCGAAAGTTGCTTGATGCTTTGACCATTTCCAGGAGAATGTTGCAAGCATCACGAGCTGCCGGAAGCTGCACTGGAGCAGCCAGACGACCACGTGTAAACACTCTCACGAGATTAAATGTTTCGAAATGTTGTGAACTGTGACACGTGAACCACAGTGAGAGCAGCGTACGAACTGAAGGAGGATTTGATATTTCCTGTTGTTCCTGACTCTAGCCCACAGTGACAGACAGCACTGTGAGGAACATGTGCTTGATACACCTGCTGCTCCTGCTGTATCAAGCACATGTTCAGGCACTTGTTACAGCTGCACGGGGAGGTGGGGGGGGGGGGGAGGGGACTGGTGAGCTGACTTTAAAGTGTACACGTTGAGTACACGTAAAGTGTAATGTGAATTATAAACTGGTGAGTTATTATTCATCATCCTGAGGCCAGTTTAATTGCCTTGTTTCATTCAATTGCCTTCCATCACTGCCTATAATATCAATCCGTGCAAAGTTACACTCAGAAAAGGTATTACCTCGGCCCGTCCTCGCCAGCGTCCCCAACGTCAAGAAACGGTCGTACTAATGTTTATTAACATTTTCATGCGATATTACGATACAAATTATTGTGAGTTGGTTCCCGCTGCCTCACACATGGTGGTGTTGGTGTAGGTGTGCTTGCGAGGGGTTGAGCTCTGGCTCTTGGGTCCCGCCTCTCAACTGTGGGTTACCTTGAGGTGCTTCCGGGGCTTAGTGTCCCCGCGGCCCGGTCGTCGACCAGGCCTCCTGGTTGCTAGACTGATCAACCAGGCTGTTGGACGCGGCTGCTCGCAGCCTGACGTATGAGTCACAGCCTGGTTGATCAGGTATCCTTTGGAGGTGCTTATCCAGTTCTCTCTTGAACACTGTGAACACCCACGCCACCCAAGACGTGTGGGTGGCGTGGGTGGCGTGGGTGTGGCGTGGGTGTGGCGTGGGTGACGTGTGGGTGGCGTGGGTGTGGCGTGGGTGTGGCGTGGGAGGTGTGTTGGTGGCGTGAGGATCCCATGACCACCCCCGCCCACACACCCGTCATACTTAAGAAGTACCAACAAGTGTCATCAGTCTTGGAAGGTCATCCACAGGATGCCAGCTTAATGCTAACTCAAGCTTATGTTAACTCTTGTGTCTCACACAAACCTTATGTGTTAGCTCGCGGCAGATTATATAAACGTTATGTTAACTCCCATGTTGCCAAGCCAATGCTTATGGCAACTTGTGGCTGCACGAAGCTTATGGCAACTTGTGTGGTATGATGAATGCACAAATAGTTATTGTTGTTAATCTGGTAAATGTTTACTTGTGAGGACAAGAGGCACGTGGGTCGAGTTACTGTGTGTGTGTAGGAAGCCAGAGTCACTCTCAGCTGCCCTTCTCACCCCTTCTCTCACCTCTCATGTCAAACTTTTTTCCTCCCTCTCTCATTTTCCTCATCCCTCACACCCCTCTCCTTTTACCCCTCTCTCACATCCCTCTCTTTCTTCTCCTCTCGCACACAAGCTCACAAAAAACAGTTCAGTTTATATATATATATATATATATATATATATATATATATATATATATATATATATATATATATATATATATATATATATATATATATCACAATGACTTGATATGTGAATGAAAATCACTTTGAGGCAATGGATTAACTCGCGTTCAAGATCAATAATCTTTAATATAGCATATCTTTAGCTGACTCGTTGTTGGTATTTCAAGTGATTCTCTATGTGAATTAATGACATCTAATTATCAACCATTATAGTAATTGATCATTCCTAATTTATTCGGTAGTTTCAAGAACTTAAAAGTAAGGTTGATAATTAATGTTCTAAGTCCTTGACCTCTTCCTCGAGGGTCAAGGGCGAATGTGTCAGTCAATCCCACAGTGTAATAGTGAGAACGGTTATCTTATCTTGAGGTTATCTTGAGATGATTTCTGGGCTTAGCGTCCCCGCGGCCCGGTCCTCGACCAGGCCTTCTTTTTGTTACACACCCCCAGGAAGCAGCCCGTAGCAGCTGTCTAACTCCCAGGTACCTATTTACTGCTAGGTGAACAGGAACATCAGGATGAAAGAAACTATGGCCATTTGTTTCCGCTTCCACCGGGGATCGAACCCGGAACTTTAGGACTACGAATCCCGAGCGCTATCCACTCAGCCGTCAGGCCCCCAATGGTGACAGCATATTAACATTAATTAGTGGTCTTATATAAGTATCCTTGTGGTACTTAACAGTCAGATAGCTCTAGGTATGTTTGGTATTTGTTCACATTCATATGGAACGAAGACACCACAGTCTGCCAGGGTAGACGGCGGCTTGTCCCCATGTTATATATATTGCATGTTAAGGTTAATTATATTAAGGCCACAAATTTGGAAGATCGTATACCGAAATATACTGTATACCACTGTATACTGTATACCCAATATTCGTCTAATATCAGGGTAAGACTTGCAGTATGACCTCAGGTTAAGGCGGGACATAGGACACTGCCGAAAGCAAACTCACTGAATTGATAAATCAAATAAACTAAAATAGTCATTACATTAACCCATAACTGGAAAGGTGGATGTGATGAGCTCCAGCCGAGCCCAGCCAGTGAGTGCCCGAGTGGTTAAGTACTCGGCTCTTCACCCCGGACCTCCATTAACCAGGGAGTGTAAGTGTGTGTAGAAGTGAGGTCCTGGTGTGGGTGTCATGGCTCCGGCGGACATGTCTCTCCCTCTCTCTCCCTCTCACTCACTTCTCTCACCATAGACAAGCATCGTCCCTCCCTGGTGCGTGGGCGTGGTGTATGGGCGTGGTGTGTGGGCGTGGTGTGGGGCCGTGGTTTTTAAATTTTGCCCCGAGGGGTGAGTATTGGGCAGCGCCATTCATCTTGCGAGTGGACATACCGCCATAGCAGCATGTACAACACACCCCAATAGGAAGAAAACCCGCTGGGTTGTTCATCCTGTCACTTGTACCCAGACACAGCTGGGACTTGTTTAACTGTCTCAAGTGAACAGCTCCTCAAACAAGAAGATTAACATTATCAACCCTTAAAAGCTTACGTTATCTTGCGGGTGCAAAATGGGGAAATCTTTTAAGAACAGTATCAATATTTGACAAATAGTGTTTTCCTAACTCAAACAATGTGGGGTTTATTATTCTACAGTTATTCCTAATGTCTCTCAGGTGTTCACATTCACGTAGATAGTGGTCAAGGCGGTGTCCGTCACTCTCACCACAGATTCTGCAACTTCGCTGATCAACTGTTGTTTCCATTCCATACCTCCAAGGATATTTGTATCCAAGACGGATTCTCGCTATTACTATTCTCTCCCTCGTCCTCCTCCTCTTCGTCCATAATGACTGGGATTGCCAGCTGCAACCATGTTGTACCATCGTACAGATTCACTGGTTTGTGCTTCTATCCTCCTTTCCTCAGTTACCTTGTCACGGTGATATTGCCTGACAATACCTCTAATTTGTAGTAGTCTTGGGTATAGACTCTACTACAAACTAGAGGTATTGTGAGGCAACATCACCTGTTGAAGCGTGGGCGTGGTGTGGGGGTGTAGTGTGAGGTGGTGTGGTGTGGGGCGTAAGACGTGCTATATATAATAATTATATTTAAACATGGTGTATGTACGTATACTGGAAAAGAGTGAAAATTCTTAGACTGAGTGACAGTAACTATTGTACAGTTACACGTAAACTATGACTCCTGCCTTTCTATGCACAATGTATGTATACACACATCTTTGTATACCCATATACACACCACTTGAACTTTAATTGGTCGGCCTCCACTCGTTACAGGGAGGCATCGCGTCTTGCAGGTCCTGTCATCATGGAAGTCGGAAGCAGACTGAAGCTCTCGGGTCACGCCAACCAATGCCAGTACCCTAAGAGCCGAGACTCCTGCATCCTAATTGGCTGATGGTCCTTACTCCTGAAATTCCGGCCAATGATATAATGCCACGTAGCGCTTCCTCTTGATTGGTGGAGAAGGCATCACCTACTCCTCTGATCAACTCCCTGCACCTCGACCCTCACCTACTCGTAGGGTAAGGTTGATCACAGCCTCCAGATACCTGGAGCATACCCGTAGAGGGTTTCATGAGTTGTTCTATTCCCTGGGCCAGGTTCGGCCTGTGATAACTTGGTCCAACAGGCTGTTGGTGGCTCAAGACTCACAAGGTGCATCTCCGCCGCTCTATAATGAACCCCTGAGACGTTGTCATGGCAACATCTGTTCCTAAATTTAGGAGAAGCTTATGCTAAGGTGAGGCATTAGTGGCCCGGATGGTGGCCCCTTTTTCTCACGGTCGCTATGAACCTTTTCCTCCCCTAACCCACAAGTGCTCCAGGCCCAGGGTGTTACTTAAGTGTTCTGAAGGTGATGGATGATGCTACCTGAGGTGTGAGGGTGCTGGATGATGCTACTGAAGGTGTAGTAGTGATGGATGATGTTACTTGAAATATAGTGTGATGGGTGGCGTCAGTAAAGGTGCTGGATGCTACTTACCTGAAACCTTCCTGAAACCTTCAGGTAGAGTTCCGATGAACCTAACGGCATGAGGCGGAGGTGCTATTTCACAGCCAGGAAGTAACGGAGGTGCTACTTCACAGCCAGGAAGTAACGGAGGTGCTACTTCACAGCCAGGAAGTAACGGAGGTGCTACTTCACAGCCAGGAAGTAACGGAGGTGCTACTTCACAGCCAGGAAGTAACGGAGGTGCTACTTCACAGCCAGGAAGTAACGGAGGTGCTACTTCACAGCCAGGAAGTAACGGAGGTGCTACTTCACAGCCAGGAAGTAACGGAGGTGCTACTTCACAGCCAGGAAGTAACGGAGGTGCTACTTCACAGCCAGGAAGTAACGGAGGTGCTACTTCACAGCCAGGAAGTAACGGAGGTGCTACTTCACAGCCAGGAAGTAACGGAGGTGCTACTTCACAGCCAGGAAGTAACGGAGGTGCTACTTCACAGCCAGGAAGTAACGGAGGAGCTACTTCACAGCCCTCACTTGATGACAGGTGTAGCTACACCCCCGCGGGAGGAGACAACCTACACGAGACAACCAGAGGCACTGCAACTCCTGCATCTAGCAAGCTGCATCACTGCATATCCTGAGTTAACAGGTCACTGATAGACATTTCAAACAAAATCATCAACAAAGTAGTAGTAGATAAGACAATGTCGAATAAACAAGACTGTTCCGAGGATACCAATTAATTCAGGGTTAAGATTAAGAAAGTCCGAGGTATTTAAATAGGGGGGGGGGTTTAAAGGGCAGGGGAGGAGGCGGTATATCAGAGTAATTAGTATAACCTAAGAGGTAGGGAAGACGAGTATCAACACTGTTGTTATTTTATGTTGCTCTCTCGCTCTCTCTCTCTCTCTCTCTCTCTCAATCCCCCCTCTCACCCCCCCCCCGGGCACCAGGGTGCCACCCCCAGTGCCCGGGGGAAAGGTCAGGGGATGGCATCTCTCAGTGACCTTTTAAACTCGACGCTCCATCATTGAATGTTGTTTTTTGGGTCTTTATGAGCAGATCATCTTAGCGTGTACAGTGTTGCCACACACTCACTGTCCTGGCGTGTACAGTGTTGCCACACTCACTGTCCTGGCGTGTACAGTGTTGCCACACCCACAGTCCTGGCGTGTACAGTGTTGCCACACACACTGTCCTGGCGTGTACAGTGTTGCCACACACACAGTCCTGGCGTGTACAGTGTTGCCACACTCACTGTCCTGGCGTGTACAGTGGTGCCACACTCACTGTCCTGGCGTGTACAGTGTTGCCACACACACAGTCCTGGCGTGTACAGTGGTGCCACACTCACTGTCCTGGCGTGTACAGTGTTGCCACACCCACAGTCCTGGCGTGTACAGTGTTGCCACACTCACTGTCCTGGCGTGTACAGTGTTGCCACACTCACTGTCCTGGCGAGTACAGTGTTGCCACACACTCACTGTCCTGGCGTGTACAGTGTTGCCACACTCACTGTCCTGGCGTGTACAGTGTTGCCACACTCACTGTCCTGGCGTGTACAGTGTTGCCACACTCACTGTCCTGGCGTGTACAGTGTTGCCACACTCACTGTCCTGGCGTGTACAGTGTTGCCACACTCACTGTCCTGGCGTGTACAGTGTTGTCACACACTCACTGTCCTGGCGTGTACAGTGTTGCCACACTCACTGTCCTGGCGTGTACAGTGTTGCCACACTCACTGTCCTGGCGTGTACAGTGTTGCCACACTCACTGTCCTGGCGTGTACAGTGTTGCCACACCCACAGTCCAGAGGTGTATGCTAGTGTGGCCAACGTAAGAACAGCCTTCAGGAACCTGTAATGACCCCACGGTCAATTCCCGTGCAGAACGTGTGGTATTCAGACATGTTATCTTACACCTGGGAGTTAGTCAACTGTTGTGGGCGGCATCCTGGGGAAGGTGAGACGCTGGCCTAGAGAGTGACTTACTGTTCCATAACTAAGTTAGTCAGCAGCTCACCCGGATTACTCCCGAGACGTCAGAGGTGACAGGAATGAATTTACAAATCACTGGAAGTCTGTAGTCAGTGGGACAGACATGTAGTCTAATTAATGAGAGGGTGAGAGGCGGGACCAAGGAGCTGAAGCTCGCCGCGCAGCAGCACAAGTGAGGGAGCAGACCCGGTCAGCAACAGGACCCAACAATAACGAGTTAGTGTGCAACACAAACACTTCAACACCCCCAAACACACCCTTCCATAAATATGAAGTTCTACACCGCCTTCCCTCCCCCCCCCCCACACACCTTCCCTCCCCCCCACACACCTTCCCTCCCCCCCCCCCACACACCTTCCCTCCCCCCCCCCTCGCTGCCTCACTCACTCCCCAAAGGGGCAATGACCCCATAGGGCTCCAGGTGCCCAACAGGTTCAGGTCACCTCTCCCAGGTGGATGTACGCAGAAGCTCAGCCAACCCCGAGGCTGTAGGTCCACATATGATAATATTTGATAGGGTTGCGTGATGCATCAAATGAACAAATCCACAAGGGCCGTGACGAGGATTCGAACCTGCGTCCGAGAGCATCCCAGCCTTAATCGACTGAGCTACGACATGGTCAAAAGGAGTTGAAACCGAAGTTCTACTGAACTTACTGGATCCTGCAGCCTCTCCGAGGCACAAACCAGGGTTTTACACAACTCCCCCCATGCACTCGAGCTATGTCAATAGGCCGTTCTCCCTCTTCGCCCTTACTTCATTACACACAGAAATCACAATTGCGTGATGCATCAAGTGAACAAATCCTCGTCACGACCCTTGTTTAATTTTGATAAGGTGATGACCCAGCGATAAACTAATAGCTAGTTGCAGGTATTTAGTCAGGTATATACTCCCCCCCCCCACGGTAATGGTATAACGCTAATCATAATAGGTTGAGCAATCCACGTTTGGATTGTTTGAGCAACAGTACGAGTTTGAGCAATCCACAATTCATTTTGTTTTGACTTCAACTTGTATGAGAGAGCTGAGGAAGTCAAGAGAGTACACCTGTGTTGCCGTGACCTGCGGTGTTGCTGGTCGTGCGGGCAGTTCCGCCGTGTTCCCCCGCCCCACCAACACACACAACACAAATAGGTATATTCAGAGAGAAATTAATCCAGCCAGAGGCGGGAAGTACGCAGTTTAGTGCTGTGGGCGCCATCAACCTCTGGAGCACCGTACTATGCCAGTGTCTTACGACCCTCTTAACAACATCGTAAATGTAATATTCTCCACTATCTTTACCAGCCCCTTCCCCCCCCCCCTCTCCTACGGTGTGTAGGACACTCCAGCCCTCTCCTACGGTGTCCAGGACACTCCAGCCCTCTCCTACGTTGTCCAGGACACTCCGGCCCTCTCCTACGTTGTCCAGGACACTCCAGCCCTCTCCTACGGTGTCCAGGACACTCCAGCCCTCTCCTACGGTGTCCAGGACACTCCAGCCCTCTCCTACGGTGTCCAGGACACTCCAGCCCTCTCCTACGGTGTCCAGGACACTCCAGCCCTCTCCTACGGTGTCCAGGACACAATCCAGCTCTCTCCGACCAAGAGTTTCCTGTGACCATGCACATAAGAATGTCTTCAACATTCCTAATAACCGCTACCAGTCTTAAAGAAGGTCTGGACCGTCTTCAAGAATGTCTGAGACACCTTATGAATATTCTAGCTGTATCTGGCACCCTCAAGAATGTTCACAGATTTTCCGGTATCAGTATTCTTGAAGGAGTCTGTAAACGCCTATAAGAGACCAGCCACAAGGGGGCAACAGGTTTCCATTTTCTTTACCTGAGCCTTGAGGTGTGAGGAAGGCAGGTGAGATGACTAAGATGGGATGGTTGTGATGCTGTGGTGTCTTCAACTCTTCCTTCCAACCCTGGTGTCGTAGCTGCTCCGAGCGGATGCCTTCTTAGCCTATGTAAACGGGGAATATAGTCTGTTTGTCTTGACTGTTCCTAGTATGCGTGTGTGTGTGTGAGTGTGGAAAGATGCACGGGTTTCGTCACTGGCACGTAAATCCTTGATGGATGGCCGTGTATATAGTAACGACCACGGCACGGCTAAAACACCAATAACTCTCTCAAGCTTGGCCAAGCTTAACAACATAATCCAGATAGACTGACGTTGTTGGGGTTGTGAATAGCGAGATGTCTGGGCCGTGGCACCATCACTCCTTCACCACGTGGCTGCTGGCACCTCCTGCTCCTCCCAATGGCACCATCCGTGACCATTACTCAGTGCCGGGTGCCCACTACCTAGAGCACCCACATAGTAACTAAGTGGTTATACCATTGTAATGGTATAACCACTCACTGTTCAGCTCCCGTACGCCTGTCCAGCTCCCGTACGCCTGTCCAGCTCCCGTACGCCTGTCCAGCTCCCGTACGTCTGTCCAGCTCCCGTACGCCTGTCCAGCTCCCGTACGCCTGTCCAGCTCCCGTACGTCTGTCCAGCTCCCGTACGTCTGTCCAGCTCCCGTACGCCTGTCCAGCTCCCGTACGCCTGTCCAGCTCCCGTACGCCTGTCCAGCTCCCGTACGCCTGTCCAGCTCCCGTACGCCTGTCCAGCTCCCGTACGCCTGTCCAGCTCCCGTACGCCTGTCCAGCTCCCGTACGCCTGTCCAGCTCCCGTACGCCTGTCCAGCTCCCGTACGCCTGTCCAGCTCCCGTACGCCTGTCCAGCTCCCGTACGCCTGTCCGTCTGACAGAGTTGCCGGGCTGGCCACTGCACAACCTTCAGATGACATCCGCCACAATATGGCAACTACAGATGTATATTATTATCTTGATATTCTCCATCTCCTTACTGCTCCTTCTCTCCACACCTCTCTCATTATCGTTCAGTTTCCTCGATGTTCGCTCGTGTCTTTCATTGGTTTAAATATTAAAAAATCCGGTTTAATTAAATGTTTTTGATTGATACTGTAAACATATGATTAGGATGCGTTTTTATGCCTGCTTTGGGGCAGAAATTGAACGATTTCGGGAAAAAAAGAAAAAAAATGGGTTCGATAATATCTAGGGGAGCACGGAACACTGACCTGACCGGTGTAGGGAGCGGAGCACGGAACACTTACCTGATCCACCCAGGAGATAAGTGCCCGCTGGCTTCTCACCTGAAAGCACAAGAACAACTTTTACCACAGTGGCGTGGGAACGTTAAGCTAAGCCTACAACAGCAGTCAAAAGTGTGTTTAGAACCAGATGACGTGTTGTATGCCTCAAGCCTACAGCCCTACAACTGTAGCCTACAGGCCTACAACTGTAGCATACAGGCCTACAACTGTAGCCTACAGGCCCTACAACTGTAGCATACAGGCCTACAACTGTAGCCTACAGGCCTACAACTGTAGCATACAGGCCTACAACTGTAGCCTACAGGCCTACAACTGTAGCCTACAGGCCTACAACTGTAGCCTACAACTTGATATGTTTGTGAATAAGCAAATCATCGTCTCCACATATTAATACAACGGCTACAGTAACGTCTACTGTATTACATTTGCGTACTCAATAACGGACTCCACAAGTTCAATCGGGAAAAATACAGCAAACCAACAAGTGGAATGCACCGAGGCAAGTTATGGACGCTGCTAGAGATAAGC